TAATCCTCTCTCAGTGTTCACCAACCAAACGACATCAATGGGGGGTCTCGCACCCCCTCGTCTCTAAAGAACAATCTACACTTTCTCTCCTGGAATTGTCAAGATCTTCAAGCACCGTTAACAAAAGATAGACTACGAGAGATGTGTCGCAAAGTCCAACCGGTGGTTTTGTGCACTGTTAACACTTCAAGCACCGTTAACACTTTCTCTATTCGTTATCTGATCTTCTTAGTTGAAACTATGAACTCTTGTAATGTTGTGAGAGAATTTTGTGCTCTTTTAGGTTTCAATTTCTCGTTTACTATCCCTCATCAAGGCCATAGCGGTGGTATGGCATTGTTCTGAAAGAAGAATATAACTATTACTAATTTGTATCAATCGATCTGTATGATCGATGTCTCTGTTGAATCTAATGGTTTATGTTTATATTTGTCCTGTGTTTATGGCAATCCAAATCATTCATTAAGACATGAACTCTGGAAAAGGATAAAATGAATGAATCAAACTCATAAAGGACCTTGGCTTCTTATGGGTGATTTTAATGATATACTATCAAATAACGAAAAGAAAGGGGGACCTAAAAGTCCGGAGAGATCATTCCAAAGCTTTAGAAATATGTATAACGCGTGACTTTAAGGACCTTCGTTCTAAAGGTAATCAGTTCTCTTGGCGTGGAAACAGAGGAACATATAAAATCCGATCCTGTCTAGATAGAGTTTTTGCCAACTCTGAATGGTTGTTTACTTTCCCTGCATCTTTAGCAGAGTTCCAAGGCTTCGGCGCTTCCGATCATCGTCCAATTATCACCACCATCGCTTTCGTTGATGAGTTCATAGACAAATCCTTTCGTTTTGATAAACGACTTCTACAGAATCCACACTTTAAAAACTATGTACTTCAAGGTTGAAATTATAACTCTTCAGGAATGCAGAATATCTCTCTCTCTGATCGCTTAACTGCAAAGCTTAAAATCCAACTTGACTATGCTTTAACTTCGACTGACCCGCATCAATCCTCCGTTCCACAACTCTGAAGTGCATTAGCACAAGCATACCATAATGAAGAAATTTATTGACACATGAAAAGCAGAAGCTCCTGGCTTGCTAATGGTGATCAGAAAACTAAAGTCTATCATGCAATCTCAAAATCCAGATACTCCAGGAATAGAATCCACTCTATAAAATATAACAATGACCATATTTTCTATGGTGATTCAAACATTGGATAACATGCCGAAGAGTACTTTCAGGATACGTATACAAGCGATAACAATGCCATTTCTCCTACTATCTTTCAAGATTTCAAAACAACAGTAACACCCAAAATAAATCAAGCAACACTAGAGAGATCTGCGAACAGGAAGTTTTTGAGGCTGTTTGTGCTATAGGCTCAGATAAAGCCCCATGTCCTGATGGCTTCACTGCAAGATTCTATCAGCAATGTTGGGATATTATTGGCTCCGATGTTACCTCTCAGGTGTTATCTTTCTTTCACACCGCCACTCTAGGAGATGGTATATATCATATTAACCTTTGCCTCATTCCAAAAACAAAAAAACCCAAACACCCTTTCACAATATAGACCAATTGGCCTTTGCAATGTTTCTTATAAAATCATTTCAAAAATTCTAGTCTCACGTTTAAAGCCTTATCTATATTCTATTGTTTCTGAATCACAAGCTGCATTTATTCCTGGGAAACTGATTTCTGACAATATTTTAGTCGCACATGAACTTATGCATTATTTAAAGAGCAGAAAAAGAGTATCCCAAACATACATGGCAATTAAAACTGATATGAAAAAGCATATGATAGAGTAGAATGTAAAACTACTATGAAGGCATTTGTTTTTAATGATCGATGGATTCACTGGATCATGGCTATGGTTAAATCTGTCACATACTCAGTGCGTATTAATGGAAAACCCCACAAATATATCGTCCCTCAACATAGGTTAAGACAGATCCCCTGTCTTCTTACTTATTTATCCTATGTGCAGATGTTTTGAGTCATATCATCGACCAGAACATTGTCAAAAGAAAAATAAATGGAGTCAAAATAGGCAATGAGGTCCCAAGAATCACTCATCTTTTCTTTGCAGATGATTCCTTATTTTTCTTTCAAGCCTATGAAAAGAATTGCACTGCTCTTCGTGATGCATTTCGAATGTAAGAACATAGCTCGTGACAACGCATAAATCAAGATAAATCTGTGATAACCTTTGGCTCCCGTATGCCGGGTACGAGGCAGAAGCGCTTAAAAACATGTCTGGGAATTATAAAATATGGGGGAGGAGGTAAGTACCCTGGACTCCCGGAACAGTTTGGTAGAAAGAAGAAACAGATATTCATGAATATTACAAATATGGTCAAACAACAAACTAATTCATGGAGTTTAAAACTTTTAAACCATGTCGGGAAAGAAGTGTTACTTAAATCGATTGCGATGTTTATTCGACGTCATGTTTTAAGCTCCCCAAACATGTCACTTCAGAACTTACTAGCATTCTCACATAGTTTTGGTAGAGAACCGATTCACAATCCAAGCGTATTCCTTGGGTAGCTTGGAAACGTTTACAGTACCTAAAACAAGAAGGTGGTTTGAGATTTAAAGACTTCGAAAAATTCAATGATGCTCTGCTCGCAAAGCAAGCTTGGCGCCTACTAACACATCCAACTTGCCTTTTCTCAAGAATTTATAAAGCACGATACTTTAAAAATGATCACCTCCTGCAAGCAAAATCATGCCCATATCAATCTTACGGTTGGTCTTCTCTTCTCTGCGGCCTTCAATTACTCAAACAGGGATCCCATTACATAGTTGGAGATGGTACAAATTCAGAATGTTCCATGACAACTGGATTCCGAGTGACCCCCCTCGACCAGCACAACCCACGGATGAAAAGTCAAATATACTGGTTTCAGACTTAATTCATACAGCTAGTGCACAAAAACAGTGGAACAATTTGTCTTTACAGAACATAGTTGCGGCACAAGATGTGGATTTAATACGGTCTCTCTATTTAAGTCAAAACAACGACATTGACCAGCTCTACTGGAACTACACAAGCAACGGTAAATACACGGTCAAATCTGGATATTGGTTCTTACACCATCATCCAAAGTTTCAATCAACTGCACCTAATATTCCTTATGGTGATCCTATACTTAAACGCAAAATCTGAAAACGAAATATAATGCCAAAATTAGAACACTTCTTATGGAAAGTTCTATCACAAGCCATAGGTACTGCTACGAGGCTTCAATCTCAGGACATTTCTATTGATGACACTTGTATACGTTGTGGTCGAGAACCGGAAACAATTTACCCTCTCCTGTTTGCTTGTCCTATCTCCACAACAACATGGCGTTTATCTCAAACACCTATTTCGGCTCTAACCTCCCCTTCTCAAGATATTGAATCTACTATTCGATTGATTATGGACAGCCAAGTAAATAATAGCTTCTCGGATACTGAGAAACTACTACCATTTTGGCTATTATGGCGCATCTGGAAATCAAGAAACTCCTTAATTTTCAAAAAAAGGAGAGTAACTCTGATAGATGATGTCTGTAAGACCCGAGCTGATGTTGCTGAATGGTTACAAGTCTCTACATCAACTTTGTCATCTCCCTAACCTTCCTAAACAAGGACTATCAAACTAGTCTGGGAACCCCCACATCCGGACTTTTTCAAATGTAACTATGACGCGGCATTTAATCCACTCACTAAACAAAGTTTTGCTGGCTGGATAATACGAAATTCTCGTGGCTCTTGTGAAATTTGGGGCTCTACTCAAATAGGAAAATCTTCTTCTTGTCTTGAAACTGAAGGAAAAGCGTTGCTAATTGTATTACAAAATTCTTGGAGTAAAGGAATTACAAGAGTAATATTTGAAGGAGATTGCCAGACACTAGTCAACCTAATTCGTACTGTGGAACAAGATCTTACGCTCTACAGTATATTAGCTGATATTAGATCTTGGTTGGAAAATTTTCATTATGTTGACATTATTCATGTAAACAGAAGATATAATTCTGCTGCTCACTATTTAGCTACAAATTTTAGAATACAAAACTCCTATCAAAGGGTCAGCAATATACCCCTATCATGGTTATTCCCTGTTTTGTATTCCGATATAAACAGTTTTATATGAATAAAGTTTGTTCTTGACAAAAGAAAAAAAAAATTAATCAAAAATATACATATTTTGATTTTTTATTTATTTCACTTTTAATACCTACTTCTTCCTGGGCAATGTTAACTGCCTTGCCTCGTAGGGTGAAAGATCAATCTCGGTATAACGCTTCATCATTTTGTGTTTTTTAGATGAACTATATAATTCAGGTTTATGCACAACTCGGCTCGTTATGATTGTTCTTATACTGTGAACGCTACAAGAAATAATAATCAAGATTCACCAAATAATTTCCAACGGAGATATATTTGGAGATGAAAATATATTCGAAAGCGTCCAACTTTCTACAGATAGAAACAAGATTTAAAAACATAAGTTTAAATTTATTTACTCACGGTTGCATAGTACGGATACTAATCATCACAGTTATATATTGTCTATATACTAATATGCTATTTCTCTATGGCTATATCATAATTGTGGAGAATTGAAGGTATTGGTTAGTGTACTAATTTACCCGAACAGAAATTGATTCTGCATTATTTGTATAGAATTTTTTCTAATATGATATGCAAGTTGATTATAATTTATATATTTTGATTCTTTAAACTATTAGAATTTTCTTCTTAATGGTTTTGCGCCTGCCTTAGTTACGATATTTCAAATTCTCTATTTCTCCAGACGTTTAACAAACTCTTAAAAACTGTGTAATGATGGTGAATTAAGAAAATATAACAAAGAACTGAGTGCAACAGGTGCCAGCATTTGATGGAGCTTCTTACATTCGACGTTTGAAAATGTATTCTTAAAGGCTTTAACAAGTGATATGATGTGAGATTCTTAAACAGCAATCCATAAGATTATGAGCTAAACTCTTCTATGAAGATGCTTATATCGTTAAAAGAAGACCCTCCTTCTTCCACAGCAGCTTTAGCCATCTCCGCAAGCTTCTTTGCCCGTCTCTTCCTCTCCTCCGCCTCTTCCCCAAGTAACACTTCTCTCACCGCTTTATCCACTTTCTCTCTGCTAATGAAATCTCCCATAACCCTAACATGTTTCTCGTCTCCCACGCTAACTCCTGTTCTAAGCACTTCCGTGACCAATTTCTCGTTGTAGAACTGCTCCGCTCCAACCAGCCATGCCACCATCGGTAGTCCTGCAGACACTCCTTCAAGAAGCGAGTTCCAGCCGCAATGGGTCACGAACCCACCGGTTGCTTGATTGTCTAGTATCAGCATTTTTTTTTTATATACCATATCGGATATCCGGCTAGCTCCAATATGGAATACACTGAAGTGCTACAAGAACAGACTGATATATCTGTGGTTCAACGGTTCAATGGACACCATGAGCTGAGTCAACGGACAATGAGATCCAAAGAGCTACCGCACTGCCTATCCCGAGTTCAAATGCCATCCGACTATATGCCAGAGGATAGTCAGGTCGCTTGCATTTCTGACTACCAGGTAAACCAATTGGGCCAAAGCGCAACTGACAAACTTCCCAGCAAAGTGTTGATAACATCAGGGGAGGAGGATCGAACCTGGGTGTGAGAATTTCACCTTTTACCAAGCCCGTCCTACCACTAGCCCACCACCTTGCGGGCAAGTATCAGCATCTGTCGAGCCCATCCTCTTATTATCATCTCTCTCCCTTTCGTCATCTCCTCCATCTCTTCTAGTAACCATTCTTCATTGTCATCTGTTCATACCAAACGTTGTTTCAGATAAAACAAAACAGCGCAAAACTCTAAAAACAGAGTTAACGTCAAATTCAATACCTGCGTTTTTTCTAACAACCCAAATGAAACTTGTTCCAGAAGCTTCTAACCCTGCCGCGATTTCCATCAGCTGCTCGTTCTTGAAGCAAGCCACACTCCCAAAGGAAATATAAACGACTGAATCCGGTTTCTTGGAGTCAAGATATTTGAGGCATTCAACTTCATCGATGCTCGCTTTCTTTCCTCTCTCAGCGTTCTCCACATTTCCTCTGTTTATAACAGAGAGTGGACCGATATGCCACGCTCTCTTCGCTACAACACTCTTGTAGAAATCTGCGTAATCAGGCTCAAGCTCGTAGAAGCAGTTCACAATTACACCTGAGCTCTTCAGATCCGAATCTTTGACCTCAACCATGAACTTCCCCATCTCGGTTTCTTCGTCGGGTCTTTGATCGCTTCTTGAGTCATTACTATCTTCCCAGGGAGATCAGGGATCATAAATGGCTCACAACTAGAAGCTACTGTCTTTTGTGGTTTATGCACTCTGATGCAATACTCAGCGCATAAAGGGAAGTAGCCAGTGCCGTGGAACACAAGTCTTGGCACATGGAACTTCTCAGTAGCCCAAGGGAAGAACATGTCGGCGATGAGACAGTCCGGTCTCGGTGTCTCGAGGAGCTTCTCAAGCTGGTCTTTGAAAAACCTTGTCGCCCAAAAGAACTTGAAGGTTATGTTTTGTCTATCTTCATTGTTGTTTGAGGTGAAGAAATCGGCGTTTTCGCATTCTTCTGGTAACCCGAGCTGGACGCAAGGGAAGTCAAAGATCTTGATCTCATTTAAAATAGCATATATATTTTAAATGAGTAATTTATTAAGAAAATATATTAAGATTAAATTTTCATATAAACATATAAAAAAATATTAATACTACCAAAAAATATTCATCTTAATTATCAAAAAAGAAAGTCATCTAAAACTTATAATTTTTGAGGAAATATTTGAAAAATTAACACAAAAATATTAACTAACCAAAAATGATACTTTATGCTAATTACTAAAGAAAGCAATATAAAAAAATGTTTAACTAACAAAAAAAAAACATAAATTATTTCTTATAACATGTCAATACAATTAAAATGAAAGTCCATATCGAGAATTTATTTAACAAAGTCAATATAAACAGAATAAGTAAGAGAATTAAAAAAACTTTAATAATACTAAAAAACTTAACTAACAAAAATAATATAAATATTTAAGCTAATTATTTAAGAAATCTTTATCAAAAAATTAATTAACTATAAAACTAAAATGAAAATTAAGTTTTACAAAATATTAGTTTTTTAAAAAAACACTTAAAAATAAATTGACTTGATATCTGACTAACTACTTTAAAAATTCATATAAAAATATTTAACTAACAAAAACTTTATGTCTTCAAAATATCAATATTTTAAAAACAATGGTGTGTTAAAATAAAATAAAAATCAATATCAAGAGAGGTAAATTATTAAAAGAAAAAGCAGTATAAAATAAAATTAGCTTGATATTTAGGATAACTACCAAATAAATACTTACTAAAAAAGCAAATGATGGTATAAGCTTTTCAGAGAAGTTCATTTAAAATTAAAAAAAAAAACAAGTTATAGCATGTCAATATAACATTTTAATTAATTTAAAAAGTAAATTTAACAAAGAAAAAGCATTCATATAAAAGATATTAGATTAATATATATGCTACCTATTTGAAAAATCAATAACAAAAGAGATTTATTAAAAATATATATGTTTTAAGTATATCAAACCAGCAGAAAATTAGATAATTAAAATAAAATATAAAATTACCATTGAAGATATTTAAAATAACCAAAAACAAGATCTAAGAAGAAAATTAGTTTGAAATATAGTTCCAAAAACATTCATGATTTCTAAAATATTGGTGTTGACTATGAATAACAATATAAAGTTTCAATAAGTTATACAAGTTTCTAAATCAAACATATTATTTAAATTTACAAAGATTAATACCTTGGTTGCGTCTAGTTAAAAAATTAACAAAGTAAAATACTACACAAGTAACTTTACATTCAAAATATAAAAAGTAATAAAGTCTGATTTGTTTACATATTTACTGCTTATAACTTAGTCAATATGAACAACACATGAGCAACATCCTCTAAAATTTTATTTAAATAATATAATATGACAAAGTTATGAATCAAATTCAAATGGGAATATATGAAGATGAAATATTCAAATCAAAACATGAATAAACACACAAAAGATAAAAAAAAAACAGTGATAAAGTGAAGTCTCAACATCATCTTACATGTTTGAAAACAAATATTAGCAAATAGTTAACTGTAAATAAAACAGATCTTATATACTGAATAGATATATAACATAAAATTCGTAGAAGATCTGGTGGAGAAGCAAAAAACAGCTTTACACGATTAGTGTAGCTTACTAAAAAAAGTAAATCTGAATCAACATATATCATATATTATATATGAATATGTACACAACATTAGTGAGACATTTAGTAAAGAAACTAAATATTTAAACATATAAACCTTTTTTAAAAAAAGAACTATAGAAATCATAAGGATACAAAACAAAACATCAAATATTTAGTAAGTCATTTTCTAAATCAAACATATGCACATCTAGGTGTCATTACTATAATTTTATAAACAAAAATAAGAAATACTACATATTATGTTTAATTTTTTTTATATAAAAGAAAATTTCTACAAATATATTATAATTTTGATAATTTAAAAGATATTAACCAAAAAATTAAATCAAATTATTAATACAGACTCACGCATAGCACGAGTTAAAAGCCTAGTCTTTTAAATAATAGAATCACATAAATCTTTATAAAAGGCTTTTGTGTTAAGATTTGGCTAAAGCAGAAACGTATTCCAACGTGTAATGCCCAAAGTCTACCAGTTCTATAAAGATTCAATATCTTAGAAGCAACTCTGAGTTCAGCAAACTCACTTGCTTCCTCTGTAACCCTAAGAACCGTTCTTAACGCAGCGAATTGCGTCTCTATAAGCTCTCCCATGCTGATCTCGTCTTCAAAGTCCCCGTCAAATGCTGAAACTGTCTCGTACAGAACTCTCCGAACGTCGCAAACTATAAAGTCCTACAAAATGGGAGAAAAAGAAGACTATGAAGAAGATAGCCGAGTAAGCACTTAATGTTTATCGTCTTGTTATGGTACCTGTGTGTGATCTGTTGGGTACTGCCTCTTACGTTGTGCATTAGATGAACTTTCATTGGATAACGTTTCGGTTAAGCCCTGAGATTTGCAAAGTTTCTCCCATTTCTTGTATTCATGGCTCGAGTTTAGTATCGTCAGAAAGAATCTTGCTAATTCTATCTCCCCAACTATATCATCCGGGATAGCTCCTACACTAGGAAAGATAAATACTTAGTGCTGAATCAAACCTGTTAAAGCTAGAATATAATTCACAGTGCTGAATCAAACCTGTTAAAGCCAGTTTTGAGCAGATCTCAGCATCAAGCAGAGTAGGAGGGAATATTCCTGGTGTGTCCAGTACATAGACATTGGGATGGCTACCGATCTGAAACACACAATTATCTAACAAATAAGCTAACACAAGCAAGTGTCATGACCATAATAAGCATACAGAGAAAACATATTGTTGAAGTGCTGAGACATGGAGATGAAAGTAGGATTAATGAATCTTAAAATTCATTCTAAGATTGTTGTTGAATCGTGAGAGCAACGGGAACAAACCTTCAAGCTCATAATGCCTTTGGTATCTCCAGGCTGCGGACTAACTGTTGTGTGCTTTAGCTTACCTTTCTCTGTAAAAAACGAACATGTTAAACATTGATAATGAAGAGCTCAAACTCGAGCAAAGAAGCAGCAACGATCATTTTGAGAGAATGGGTTTACCTGCAGCACTAATCCTCCCGATTTGATGCAGAGAATTGGCGAGAGCGGATTTTCCTACGTTAGGTATCCCAAGGAGCATCATAGTTTTGGTGTGATTAGAATGGCCAGACTTGTGCAATTCCCTAACTTGACTCTGCAAGAAGTTGAGAAACTGAAAGAAAAAAGGAAACTTTTAGTTTCTTACTTGGCAAAAAAGACCTGAAGATGATGAAATCAAGAGAAATAGTATGTTACTTGCTTGACACAATCTTTGTTATGTGAGTTAACTGCAAAAGACAGATATTTTCTTCCTTGAAAGTAATCCATCCATTTCTGTAACTCCAATGGATCCGCAAGCTCCATCTTGTTCAACACAACAATTCGTTTTGAAGGTAAAGGCGAAAACTTTCTCAACAACTCATACTCAGAGGACAACGGAATCTACAGACAAAACAAGAGGAAGAAGAAACAAAAAAAAGCTTAGCATCATTCTCTGAGGCAATTTTTCGAACAGTTGGAAGACAAAAGAGAGAAAGAATAAAACGAACACGAGCGTCTCTGATTTCGAGTACGAAATCGACCAACGGTATGCGTTCCGAGATTGCTCGAACCGATGCGGCCATGTGAGGTCCGTACCATCTCCGGTTAGGGTTCTTCGACGCCTTGATCACGGCGTCTCCGATTTCCCTCCCAATTCTAGCCGTTGCCATTTCAACATAAAGCCTCCCTTTTACAAACCTAATGCCCATAAATACGAAGCAAAATTGAACCCAATGGGCTTTAATGCCTCAAATATAAAGCCCAGGTTTATATAGCCTATTTAAAATACGAGTATTATAATTTCGATCGGTTTTAGTTGGGTTTTCGGATTTTTTTTGTTTATGAATAAATATACATCGCGAGATACATCTAATCTAATACGAAGAGTATAAAATACGGTTTTGGTTCAGGTTAAGATTTTATATTCTTAATGGTTCAAACAAGTTTTGATTTTAGAACAGTTTTCTCTCTTTTCAGTTCAAATTTTAATTTCATTTTTCCTTTTAACCATATATATGGATTTAAAGATACCACAAAATGCGAGGGATGAGAATGTTATCCTTGTTTTGGAAAAAAGCTATAATGACCACTAAATATCTCCATATCCCTAAGTAACGCATTTAATTTTTTTTTTAGGATGCCATTTCCCTATGAACATGCATGCACGGCCCATGTATTGGCAATATGTGTATAATGTACGCCTTAATTAAGCTTTTAATATATTTAAGCTTTCAAAGAGCACAGATTCATCAACCGCTAGGCCACAAAGATCCAGTAAGATCTTGTTTACCATATATATAGTCTCCAAAAATATATTTATTATAACCTCTAACCTAAACTTAAGAATTTTATATGGTATCTAAACTATTAAAAGAGAATCATTTTTAATAAATGTTCAAAAGCTATCATAGTATTTACAATATATGCCATTACATTTACCAAGACAATTTCATTAATTCATTAAGGGTAATTGAGTCATATCATTAAACCACTAAAAATGCATTAAATTAAATTATATTATATTATTTTGTTAACAGATAATACTAATAAATTATACTTATATTTAATAAAATTTAAATTAATTTAATTTCAAAATTATTTCAAAATTATTTCATTAATTCATTAAGGGTAATTTAGTCATATCATTAAACCACTAAAAATGCATTAAATTAAATTGTATTATTTTGTTAACAGATAATACTAATAAATTATATCTGATATTTAATAAAATTTAAATTAATTTAATTTTAAAATTATTTCAAAATCTTTCATAATATCTTAACATAATTAT